TTCTGAGACCCAATTTACGAATCCTGGTTTTATAATTCGGCAAGGCGGATGGATATTCTGGATTGGGGAAGGCACGATAAAATACAATCTTTGTGAATGTTCTTTGGATTTTCTCGATCTTATCAATGTCTTTTATCAATGTAGGATTCCATACAAAGCTGCAATATTCTACCACTGGCAGAACAAACGTTTTATAGACTCTCACTAAAACTTCGGGGTCACAGGACTGAACAGTGCGCATTAAGGCATACAGCGTTCGAGTACCTCGAAATGAGATTTCATCTATGTGACTTGAATATTTGATCTTTGAACAAAAATTTGCATTCAACTTCAAAGTTATCTCTAGGATGAAACGGCGTTCTGCCAATGGGAACTGTGCAGCTCTTGGCGTAATTTACCTTGATATTCTATCTACTATCCCAAAGCATCATTCGAGAGATTGCATTGCGGAGTGCTACATTAGCTCTATCCTTATCATGCTGGTCATAAGCGATATAAATTTTAATATCATCAGCATACGCAGCTACTCTAATTCCCGGGTCTATGGTGAGAAAGCTAGGTAGGTCGACATAATATATGACAAATAGAATTGGCGACAAGATACTGCCTTGCGGAACCCCTGATCTGCATAATCTTGCCGTAGAAATTTTATCGAGGATTCGAACAGAAAAAGTCCTGTCTTGAAGATAGGATTCGAACCACCTGAGCTGTAAGCCTCTAACTCCCAAACTCTCCAACTTGGCCAAAAGTAGGTTGTGATCTACTGTACCAAATGCTTTACTTAAGTCAAAATAGACTACATCTATTGATCGGTTTAAGCTTAACGCTTCTGTCCAATCGAATTGGACATCAAGAAGCTGTGTACCGGTAGATCGGCCTTGCAAAAATCCATGCTGCTGCTCTGGGAGACATTGCATTTTGTCTAACCATTTCAGCAAATTTTTTGCAATGATCTTTTCAAGTAGTTTGCACGGTGTAGGTAAAATGCTTATTGGCCTATAATCAGAAAGTTTGGGGTTAGAGGTCTTAGGCAGAGGGGTGACCACAGCGGCTTTCCAAAGATGAGGAACTTCTGCCATCATCAGGGAAACATTGAAAATGTGAGCTAAGGGGAAGGCCAATTCATTGGTGAACATCTTGTAAAAGATGGCTGGAACATCATTGGATGTTAGCGATACCGTTGGACTTACTTTCCTCAAAAGTTTTCTTATCATGCGAGGATCAATTTCTACTGGGAGACAAGACTCAAGAGATCTGCTTTCTAGTAATGGACATGAGGCAACAGGATCTGAGAAAACGCGTGAAAATTGATCTGCAAGAGCTTCAGCTTTAGAGGTGGAGGTATGGTAGATGTAACCATCACTGTCCTGTAAAGGACCAGTAAATCTGCTTCCTTTCAAGTGTTTATTGAGATACATCCAAAAGTTACGTCCACAAGCCCTATTAGCCATTCTTTTTTCTTTCTGTCTTAAAAAGCGTCTCAGCTGATACGAAAGCTCTTTAGAAACAGTTTTATATTCAGTGTCACTCAAGTGATCTCGGAGGCCAAAGAATAATCTCATCCTTTTGAGAAACAGATTCATCTGCTGTGGGTATCGTAAAAAGAGAAAATTTCTTCGTTTGAAGAACAAATCGAACAATCAAATCTTTGATTACATTCAGGAAACGGTCATAAAGATCGTCTATGTCAGCATACCCATCGAAAACGTTGAACCAGTCTATAATGTTCAAAATGGCCTTGATGGATGCTTTATCTGCATTAGAGTAGTCACGTACAGACGAATATTCAGAAATATCGCTACGACCAGAGACAGATAAGACTACTTCAAAAGAGAGAATATTGTGATCAGCATTGCACAAGGGGGGAAGTATTTGAATCTTGAAAACCATCTCGCTTCTGGCAAAAATCAAATTCAAGCTGATGAACCTCTCGTGGGTTTTCTGACAAGTTGTGAGAGCCTCAGACACTCGAAGAATGAAACAAAACGGGCGGAGGAGAGTGACATTGTTCTCATCTCAGACCAATCAATGTCGTTCAGATTAAAATCGCCAAGAAAAATAGTATTTCTGGCAGAAGTGGCAAGATTTTCTAAAGTGTCAATAAGTTCTTCATCATGAGAGGCTATTTGACCAGGCGGTCGATAAAGGAGTACAAACCTGAATAATCATCAGCATTGACAAAGCAAATCGAAATCAGTCGGTACAGAATGTCTGTGTTCGATATTACGAAAGACGATATCATATCGAATCAACACATACTCCTCCACCCTTTTTATTCATGCGATCGCTACGTAAAACATTATATGGTAGATCAGCAAGAATTTCGGCATCAGTTATATTATGATTGAACCATGATTCTGTAACAAAGACTACTGCTGGTCTATGCAAGTGGACGAAATGTCGGAACTCAATAAATTTAATTACTAAACTTCTAGCATTCTAGCATTAAGTAAAAAACAAGAAATCGCGGAATCCTGGCACTCATTTAGTTTTTTTGATGTGATGCTTTTATGGAAGGAATGTCTGTGGCCCTCACCACCTGTCCTCTGTAGACCACGAACACTTTACCGCCACCAGGTTCTTTACTATTGAGATCACGCGCCTGCTGGCGGAGGGCCCGCTCGTGATCTCTCTCCTCGCGGGTCATCGACCTGCGGATGAATATCTGATCACAACCGAGCAACCTCCGCAGCAGGGGAGCCTTTTTAAGGGCGTTATAATAAAACTGGTAAGATGAGAAGACACATTTGATCAGCCTTGGCTTGGTGCCACCAGGTGTCCCCATTCGATAGACTCAAGCGGTCTCGTCTCAATGTCCAGTTTGTCTAGAATAGACATAACTGAACTTTCAGTATGTCCCTGACGCTGAGAGGCAACAGCGTTCTCCAATTCAGGAACCCCTGAGATAACAATAGACCGAGACCGCTTTTCCTCCTCGATTAGGTCCTTGGTGGCAGGTTTGACCAACTGCATCAATCGATCGAGTAGCGGTAAGGCCTCCGGGGCCTTCCCTGCCAATATGGAATGAAGTTGTGAAAGTAACTTACCTTCAACATCCTTCTGCGAACTACTGAGAATATCAGAGGAAGGAATATTTGTCACCGGAGTCGATGGATTAGCTTCTTTGCCTTTTCTGGACTGAGTTGATCGGCGTTAGGATACCATGATACAGAGCAATATCGAACACAACCGCTCAGCTCGCGTGCGTGAGACAATATGAGTGACCAATAAAATCGGAAACAAAAAAATTTGGGAATTTTGGGCTTTTGAACACATCATCGGATAGCTTGGAAAGAGCTGATTTCGAGTATGTTGTTCAGAATTTTGTACGACTTCTTTGAAGATCGTTATCATCTTATCAGTGCAAAAAGAGGGACCAATAAGATTTAGAACGCGTAGTTCACTGAAAATGAGATTTTCAAACTTTTAAGCACATTGGCGGATAGCTCAAGAGACACTGATGACGACTATGTAAACAGGATTTTTGTGGGATAAATATGAAAGCAGTTATAACAATGCGGCACTTCCGACCCAAAAACTCGTTTATTGTGCCCTGCGGCACATAAAATTGACTTTTTCAGTTTTTGAATATACTATCGGATAGACCAATCAGTGCTGAGTCCAAATATAATAAGGAGAGTCAAAAAGAGTAGTTTTGTGGAAAGTATTCGAATGCGGCTCTTTCGACGCGATACCGCGTTTATTGCGCCGTAGGGCACAGCAAAATGTGAATCTTTCAGTTTTTGAACATACTATCGGATGCACTAGACAGTGCTGTTTCCAAATATTTTAACCAGAGCTCGACAGGAGTAACCTGAAAGAAGTTAAAGCAATGCGGCATTTCCGGTGCTTTATTGCGTTGAGCAGCTTTGAAAAGCGGCACTGCCGGTGCTGTACAAGGTACCATTCGATAGAACAAAGCATGAAAGCAACCGTACATGATGGCGCTCTTGCTTTTGCATCATTTCAAACCCGTCTCGAGTTTGAAGCCTAAAACCAAAAAGATCTAACCGTTCGAAGAATAAAGAAAAAATCGTAACTCCCTCCAAAAAATCCTAGAAAATTCCTAACTTGCTTACAGATACGCTGTCCACATCAATTTGCATAAAAACTGTTTCTGTATTTTTTCCTTCGATAATCGAGAAAACAAAATTTTTTATGTTCTTGGCAACGTGAAGCTGTGCTGTTCCCACACTAGTAGTTGTATACTACAGGCCAGTACAAGTACAGACACAATTTTTCAGCGCTCTACAGGCTTTAGTTCTCGAGAAACTTTGAATTTAGATTCGCAGAGTCGGGTGTCCTAAATTAAAACGATTATTTCTCGAAAGTTAAAGTCTGTAAAGCGCTGAAAATTCACGTTTGCACTTGCACTGGTCTGTAGTATACGGCTACTAGTGTGTGAAGAGCACAGCATCACTTTGGCAACAACATAAAAATTTTCGTTTTCTCAATTTCTAAAGGAAAAATACAGAAACAGTATATATAAATGGCTGATGTAGATATCCTATCTGTAAGCAAGTTAGGAATTTTCCAGGATTTTTAGGAAGGAGTTACGATTTTTTCTTAATTTTTCGGGCGATTGGGTCATTTTGGTTTTTGGCTTCAAACTCAACCGGATTTGAACTGCTGCAAAATTGAGCGTCATGGTGTAGGGAAAACGATGTGAAATGGTAGTGTAGAAAAAACGTGCATTAATAATGAGACAACCTATTTTACTAACATTCACAGTAACCATAAACCTTATTCTAGTTCAAGCTATCTATATAAGTTGGGTGCCACATATCTGTCAACTCATAGCTCCGCAGTCCATATCGTACATGAGGATTCAAAACGCTAAACAACGTAGCCGCTAAATCCGGATGAAACAATTTTCTAATTGTTGTTCATTTGATTCATTGTTTGGTTTTTTCAAAAAGGTGAAGCGTATTGTGTACTGTTCCCCGCCACGCGCGTGTATAAAATTCACTGTCCGATCACATTCTTCACTCTTACAGATCATGCTTGGAATTTGCGCAACCCTAGTGGTACGTCGTAACTTCCGGACTTCTATAATAGAAAAAGGCGTATTTAGGTTCTCTCTGGCTTTACTCTAGCCGATCTCTCTGGCACTGCTCTGGCCCATCCTAAAGAATGTCCTGCTGAAGGGCTGACGTACGTCTTACTGGAATATCTGGATGAGGTTCGAGAGACGTTCCGTCTTTCTGGCATGGTCAGTTCATCCCTCATTTTTGAGACTTATAAAAATACGGTGCGAGATATTGTGATAAATTTTGTTGTTCGTTAGCCTATTCTTTTGATACTGCGCTTTACCCAAGTAGCCTCATACCTTATGCCTAATCTGCTCTATAGCTCTCGAGCAAAACTAATCCAATCTATGATTCCGTCTTTAGCGGTTCAGGAATGGTATGTTTGCACTTTGTAAAGGCTTCAATTCCGTTTTTCGTCGGTGCTTTTTTGGCAACTGATTTTAATTATTAAAATGTATAAACAAAGGTAGCCATAAAAAGTCCTAGTTAAAGCTTTGACGTATCCCGAGATAAGAACCAAAATTGTGAATTGTCAACTGGGAGAAAAATGAATTTACGAGAAACCAGGTAGAAATTTTGATGAGAAGCAAAAATTTTGGAAACGTTTTTTTTGGGAATGTCGGGCAAGTTTATGCATTAGTTTTTAAATCCTCTGATAGATATTTACATCAAAAATATGTTAAAAACTTGATTGTGCTAAGAACTGATAAGTAAAAAAAATTATGACGTTTTTGTAATATCCTCCATATCCCATCACTGCACAGTGATCGGACACCATGGCACGAAATTTGGTGTGCGTATACGAAGTTGAACTAAGGAACAAAGTATAATGAAATAAGAAACTTATGTAAAGCTAGCGGGATGAAGTGGGAAGTCGTAAAAGAAAGAGGACGACGTTTTCGCTTCAACGATGTCCATTTGCCATCCTCGTGCTGAGCACTGTTCCTAGCATCAACCGCCATTACTTAGTCAGAAGTCAATATCATGTTTGAAATAATCGACGTTACGACGAATCAAAACAAAAAGGGTAACGCGGACATATCGACGTACTTTTTTCGTACCATGAACTGCTAACATGCGATTCGTGGCATTCAAATGAATTGTTGTCGCTGATGATTCGTTAACCTCCAATGCTAAGTAGTCGCTTTTGTCGCTTTTTTTTCGGCGCTCTTCCCAGACCTTACAACAATATCGTCATTGCTTCTACCCGAAAAACGAAGCCCACTTTGAGCACAGACCATCTGTGCCAAGCCCTTGGCTACGTGGCTACTTTTTGTGCATGTAATGATACGCTGTCCCAGAGGGGAATAAGAACTTGGCGCAACTTGTGATCCATGAATTTTGCCCCTGTGATAAATATATTAATTGTTAATAATTCAGGAGCGTTATGCGAAGCTGGACAGATTTGGGATACCTGGGGCTACTAATGCGTTGAGAAGTCTTAAAAAATTACGGGAAAAAGAGAAACCACCACAAACAATGATCTTGGACAGGTGTAGTGCTCCGTACTACACATGTACTCTCGCGTTCCACATTCCTCATAGAGGAACACCTCTGTACGACTTTGCTAACATTGCATACAAGGGACTGCTCGAAAAGCATCAGGTATGTCCCGTTTATCATTTTATGATTACAATATCTTGAGGCCATGTCCTTGACGAGTGCAACAATTGTCAAGCTGTTAAATTTTGTTGGAAAGGAAAGCAGAGGCTTTGGAGCCGCTAGCTCTAAAAGCACATTCAGTGAGCATTTCTGTTTGATGCTGATGCGACGATTTGAAGCGAGAGAGCCAAATTGTAGTGATAGACGCATCGCACAGAAATGGGCAAGGTGCCCATTTGCATGCTTGCAACAAGAAAGAGCGCGAGTTAGCTGTCAGGGGTGGAAAACGAAGTTTTTTTTTACTTTACGGAGATTTTGCCAAGTCTCCCCTGATCTAAAGAGCCAGTTTTTAATGGACAGGAGGTGGAAGAAAAAACACAGACAGCGAGATCTTTACCTCAACATTATTATTAGAATTTGAACGCTGATGATGCATGAGTTGCTAGATTTGAGACTCTATGGTCCCAACTAAGAGCGAATTGCTTTTACAGCAGGCCGAGCATTTTTTGTGCTTACAAGAGCTAGTATGTGCTTCCGTGGACGAAAACCTTCATAACCCCTTCTCGATAATGCTCCACAGTTAGCAAGTAAATTTGGCCAGCGCCTAAAACTCAATGTCTTGTACACAATTCAATTATATCAAGAAAAAAAGTCGGATATACCTTTTCAGTTGGCTAAGACATTTGAGAGCTGGTGATGAAGCTCTACAAGCCAGGGAATAACCAGGTGTAGGTCAAGAGTCACTGACCCCAGCACCTTAACCAAATAGTAGTTCTCCAGAACACGATGGCGAAAGCAAATGCTAACATCTGATATGTAAGGAATCTTATATATAAAGCTGAATGTCTGTTTGTCTGTCTGTATGTCTGTCTGTCTGTATGTACGTATGTTCCGAATAGAAAATTCCATTTCTGAACCGATCCGGACCAAACTTGGCACACATACACTACGGGCCCCGGCGGGTGTCATAGGCTACTTTTCGTCATCGATCGATATCGATTTTATCGATTTTTATCGATTTTTTTGCTGAGTTCACCTACGGGGCTGGGAGTTGGCACAGGGGGGTAATCGAGCATGGGGATTCCGAATACAATATTGGTTTTCAGGATTATCGATTACTTTTATCGATTTTATCGATTTTTTTGCAAAGTTTGAGCTACGGGGCTGGGAGTTGGCACAGGGGGGTAATCGAGCATGGGGATTCCGAATACAATATTGGTTTTCAGGATTATCGATTACTTTTATCGATTTTATCGATTTTTTTGCAAAGTTTGAGCTACGGGGCTGGGAGTTCGCACAGGGGGGTAATCGAGCATGGGGATTCCGAATACAATATTGGTTTTCAGGATTATCGATTACTTTTATCGATTTTATCGATTTTTTTGCAAAGTTTGAGCTAGGGGGCTGGGAGTTGGCACAGGGGGGTAATCGAGCATGCTGATCATCCCCAAGGGGGGTGATCAGCATGCTCGAACACCCCTGTGCCAAATTCCAGCCCCCTAGCTCAAATTTTCAAAAAATCGATAAAATCGATAAAAGTAATGGACGATCTTGAAAACTAATATTGTATTCGTAATCTGCATGCTCGATTACCCTCTGTGCAAACTCCCAGCCCCGCAGGTCAAACTTTGCAAAAAAATCGATAAAATCGATAAAAGTAATGGACGATCCTGAAAACTAATATTGTATTCGGAATCCCCATGCTCATTTCCCCCCTGTGCCAACTCCTAGCCCTGTAGGTGAACTCTGCCAAAAAATCGATAAAAATCGGTAAAATCGACATCGATCGATAACGAAAAGTGGACTGTGACACCCGCCGGGGCCCGAAGTGTATGTGTGCCAAGTTTGGTCCGGATACGGCGGAGCCGGGTAAGCCAGCTAGTTTTCGATAAATTTGACCACAAGGTGCACTCTCTTATCGTGGTTTTTTACTCTGATTTCTGAATATGAACTTTACATGATTACTAGGATCTTTTCACATAATGTAGATGCAAGAGTAACGAAACGCCCATCATCCAATCAGGAAGGGGAGCAGCCAACGTGAGCGATAGATGCCAGCCGTACGCGCTACGTAAATCAAAGATTTTCAAATTTACATTCACACTGCGGTAGTATTGAAAAAATTGGAAGAGACGGTGAGAGTTTAGTGGGCCCAATCCTTGATATCCACCGAGGAACATATTCCTTCAAAAACGACTATATGCTCGCCATATTGGCAACTGTAGGACTATAATATGCTTAATCGCATCTATCGTTCATCTTGGCAGACACCCGTTAGGCAAGCTCATTTGGGTAGTTGGGCACCGTTCGGGGATGTCGGTCTTCTAACCAGGGTCAAGCGCGGGGTGTGGCACGCCACACCTGGGTGGTCGTATTGAGAAGTCAAAAGGGGAGGGGGTCGAGTTGGGTAAACTGATAAGAGTGATAACATGATACTCGTATTATATTGAGCGAGTTCTGGAGATTCAAGATATTAGGTTGTAAAGAAAGTTTCCGAGCATTTACGAAAATTTTTTTAAATCGCTGTGACTTCAAGCAGATTGATTCTTTTTTGAAGCTACAAACTTCATTGCAAAGACAGTTTTGTCCATAACATATATTTGTTTCGCTGGCTTCTCAGCACCTCACTGTGGTCCACCAGCGCAGAAGGGAAAAAGGTCGTCGCAAAGTTGGCCTATTTGTGCAGGATTATCTCAGGCATGATGAGAGCTGGAAAGCCCAGATGCTGTAGTTATATAGAGATCTGCTGGGGCTGTTATGAGGACCATTCATATTTTTGAAGGACCACCTGCAAGAAAATTTTTCCCAGAAAGTTTGAAATATCGACTATTTTTTGCCCCTAAAAATGCATCATTTTTCGAGTAAGTGATTTTGAAGTCTTCTAGTTCTGCACAGAAAGAACCAAATCTTAGATTACTGGGAACATTGTTAGGGTATTGCCTTGCACATCTTGTGGGCCCATCATCCAGGCGTGGCGGTCGCCGCAGAAGCGACGCCAGCTGCGAAAAGAGTTGCAGTCAGAGACAAGTTCGACAGCTTGTAATTTCTAAGCGCAAATCGCAAAACTCGAGTACACCGGCGGGTCAGAGTTTAACGGGATTCTCAATCAAATCACCCATGATGTGAGCGAAATTCTTTGAAGTGCACAAAAATTTGGCCGTAGGAAGAGAAATTGTGAAATTTTTGTGGTTGGAAAGATCTCTCTTCTTGACGTTCAGATCAAACACGTTTTAGCATCGATAAAAGTCAGAAAACTTGTGGAAAACTTCAGGCTTCCCTCTACTGAACAGTATAAAAAACTTGGTGTCAAAGTCCGACCGAGCGCAAAAAAATGCGCTTGAAAATGAAATTTTCGAAAGTGCCCGGGAACTTTCTTTACAACCTAATACTAGGCTACCCAAGTGAAATGGTCATTCTCGAACATGATTAACTTTGTTTCGAAAGTAAATTAGCTAATATTTTTGCACTTAAGACAAAGCACTACTCCTTCTTTGTCCATCTCAGAAATCCCGCTTCAAAAGACCTTCAAACTGTGGAATTAGAAGCCTACCAAAATCTCGTTTTTCTCATTTCCGCTTTTAATAGCTGTGTTTTCACCAAATATTACTCGGAGCTAAAAAGACGAATGAGACTCAAATCACTTTGGTGAACTCTACGAGGTTCAGGCTATCGATTCATGTAAGTAATGTTCGCCAAAACTGTTTTTTTGATATAGTTAAGGGGTGTGGCACAACCCTTAAAAGCTGTGGCAGCCACAGCTTTTAAAGGGGTGTGCCACACCCCATTAACTATGTCATAAAAACATTTTTAGCCCGTATCCAAATGATCGATAGCGATCTCCTAGTTTTCACAGAAGTGATTTGAGCCTGATTCGTTTTCTTTGCTTTGAGTAAAAGTTGATGAAAGCACAGCCGTCAAAAGCAGAAAACAGTTTGGAGGTCTTTTGAAGCGGGATTTCTGAGATGGACAAAGAAGGAGTAGTGCTTTGTTTTGAGTGCAAAAACGGATAGCTAATTCACTCTTGAAACAAAGTTAACATGTTGGAAAATGACCATTTCACTTAGGTAGCCTAGTATCTTGAATCTTCAGAATTCGCTCAAAGTTTGCCTACAGGGGTTAAATGACATGCTCATTATGGATATGTTGCCCATTATGTTTGACAGGGCCTTCAGGTAATGCTATCTTAGGTATATAATTCAGGGGGGGGGGGGAGGTTTTATCAAGATATCATATATTGCAGCAATTAAGGGGGATGGGTCTAACCAGCGATCGTGTGCCACACCTCTTGCTTGACCCTGCTTCTAACTGAGTCCAGCATGCTCAATCAAAGGTAGGATACAGACATATATTGCAACGTTGAAAAACATATATTTTCTAACGTCGCAATAGCGAGACCTCGAAGGAGAGTTCGGGTAGATTTAAAACCTCGAGTTCAATAATCTACTGGGGCAGGTTCTCTATGCGCATGTTAGAGCCCGCATATAGCACACAATTATATCATCTTATATATAAAAATGTCTATTTGTCTGTATGGTCTGTACGTATGTGCGGAATAGGAATTTTTGTTTTCGAACAGATTTGGACCAAGCTTGGCACATATATACTTTGGGGCGGGGAGCGTGTCATAGGCTACTTTTCGTCATCAGTCGATATCGGTTTTCAATTTTAATCGATTCTTTGCAAAGTTCACCTACAAGGTGGGAGTTGGCACAGGGAGGTAAGTGAGCATGGCGATTCCGAATACACTATTAGTTTTCAGAATTATCGATTTTATCGATTTTTTTCCAAAGTTTGAGCTACAGGGCTTGGAGTTGGCACAGGGGGTAATCGAGCATGCTGATTACGAATACAATATTAGTGTTTGGTATTATCTATCACTTTTATGGAATTTATCGTTTTTTTAAACTTGAGCTGAAGGGCTGGAAGTTGGCACAGGGAGGGGGGGGGAGAGAGGGGGTAAGTGGGCATGCTGATTTCGAACACAGGGAACGGGAAATGAAGTGTAGAAGTGGGCACGGGGAAATACAGGGATATGGATGGGACCTTTATTTCAGTGTTTTGACGAGGCCGAACGGAGCCGGGTAAGCAAGCTAGTAAATTCCATAAAAACTCAGCGTCTTAAATTTGGCTCGCTCTGCTCCATGCGTCTAAGTTCAAGAACTAAATCACGTTACATTGCTCAAGATTTTTGCTGAGGCGGAGTGCAGCTTACAAGCAAGCAAATCGAAAAGCATTGCAAATGCTCAAAAATCTTCAACAAAATTAGAATACATCAGATATACACCATGCCTTCACGCCAGTTTTGACAAAATCATAATTATCTACACTCAGCTGCTCATGATGCTAGCTACAAAGCTAAAAAAAATGATTTTAGAATGACCTCAGAGAGATGGAATCCATGAAGATTGTCGGTTGCCTGTGCAATGAAAATGCCATGGCATGCGTATTCAGCAAGTAGATCCATCTGTTTTTTTTCGTCTAAATAAAGAAATCATTTTTTCTGTGAGTTTTCAAGAGAAACTGCTGCAGTCATCGATGTAGTAAACGGAGCGGACCTGAGGCTTGTCTTTGTAACAAGCTCGATGTAAAAATTCGAGCGAAGCGATCCGAGCGGAGCGGAGAAGAAGTGGTGGGCTGTGCGATTCTCAACAAACCGTTTCTTGAACAGTTTTCGGTGCATCATCGATTTCCGACTGCTTTCTTTGCGTCTTTTGCCGCTCATATCACAACGCGACAATTAAGCTACAGCAGCGGAATAACCCATAGGACAATGAGTTTCAGACCCCTCTAGCATTCTGATGTTTTGTGTCATTACAGGCTTCTGCTTCTTTGACAGATGCTGGGGTTACCAACAAATTCAACTTAAAGAGCTGTTTATCCAAATGTCATCCCATCTGCAAGGGTTTCAAAAAGAATGAGATTTCAAAACATAATTATTTAAAATGGCCATAGACTGATAATTCACGCCGTGTCCATGTGATGGGTGCTCATTTGGCGCATACCCGTTTCAGGGAGAAAACAGCTTTCTCACCCGGTTTTTTGCGCTTACGTGAGACTCGCTGAAATTGTCAGACGCCGCGCAGGAACCGCAACATATCAGCCCCCACCCTCTGTCTCAGACAACCGACCGGAACTTCCGCAGCACTATGCGGTTTTCGCTTTTGATTAGCGATCCGCTTCTTCCATATCAAACTTACTTTTTGATACTAGGTTTTCCTTTCCAATACTAGGTTTTCGCTTTTTACTAAGGCATTATTCCTTTGATGTGGAAATTCCTCTAGACTTTCTAGATGCTAAGGGACGTATACAGCGAGATAGTTTTAATGAGGAAGCAAATGGCACAGTGTATTGTTTTATGCAGGTACCATATAGAATCACAGTAGGCCGAAGTTGATAATTGCAAATTAACAGATCAGTGTTCATAAATAAATTTACATAAAATCACAGAAGCATTCGAGTATCATAACTTATAATAACGGGCTAAGGGTTGTTTGCGTGTTTTTGTGTGTGTGTGTGTGTGTCTGAATATCTGTCTATCACGAAATTCGTTCCAGCCAACGTCCTGAGCCCAAATTTTGCATAGCGCATGCTACCAGCATAAAAGCCCACCATGCGAAAGCACAAGCGGATTTGTTAGGTGGATCCCTCAGAAATTGCGCGTCAGCCGGGTCCAATTGGCTCTTGGCCCGCATAATCGGATCAGTATCACCAAATTTTGCAAAGTTGTGGATGTGCTTGGCATCTCAATGTGCAAGCCAAGGGCTTTGGTCCAAAAAAAGGATCAAAAGTCTACTACTTTACAGAAACGACGCCGAAAAAGTATTGATTTTTCGATTGTCGATTTGCCAGGGTTTTACTTGAGCATTTGAGAAGACTTTTGCACAGAGATGTGGCTCAGGGTGTTATTGTCCTTATAGCAACTACCTAGCCAGAAAAAAGTTCAGAAACCTATTCAAATTTGCATTTGTTCTTCTGCGAAAAACTTCATCCTCTCAAAATTACCGTTGTCACATGGAAAAGCTTTTGGAATGAGTAGTTGTTTACAATTTATTTGTGATATTCGCATCGTCCGGTGTGTTTCAATGCCATCTTAAGGCATGAGTGAGTAAGGCGTACAGAGTAGGAACACAGCGATCCTCTGCGAATCAGTGTAATTCGTAGCGCAAGCTGCAGCCAAGATTTCGAGCTGATTTTTTTGGCTATAGCATGCCAGCAGCACCCAAGTTAATTATGTAAAGAAGTGAGCGAATCTGTTTCGGTAGGACCTCGTGAGTCAAACGGACCCACCAGGCATTTGCTAAGGCAAACGAGATCCTAATGCAAGGAGTCTGCAGTAACTGTAAGACTTTCAACTTGGACATCTTCTAAGCCCTGGAATTCAGCGCAGATACATAGCAAAAAATTAATTTCGTGCAAAAGTGGCGTCAAAAAGAGATGACTCAATTAATTGTTGATTTTCAAAGAACTCACTGTATAGCTGGAAATATTGTAGGCTGGAAATGTAGTGTACATCTGTTGTTGTTCTAATTAGTCAACATCGCATTGATAAAACGGATCCAAAATTACACTAACCGTTCACCAAAATGTATCGCCACGCTAATTTTACCGGTTTCACATGAAAACCTCGCAGAATGAATGGTTGTTTACATCATATTTTTCACTATCAGAATTTTCCGGGGAAGTTCAAAGCAATTTGAGAGACGAGGCGGGGCGCTGTTTAGCTCTGAGGACAAGCATGGACACGCAGATCCGCGCACGACACGATATTCACGAGGTGCTTAGAGTCAGTAGTCTCTTAAGGAAGGCAAAGTGTGGGCGTGCCACACTTTGCCTTCCTTAAGAGAAGATGTGCTCAAAAACTATAGAGTAGGACCAGTGCGAGCCTCTGCAAAGCAGAGGTGACGCACTGGTATATGCATAACCGAATAAGGTTGGAAAAAATCGGCAGATATGAAGGATTAAAAGCAATGTTATACTGATGGAAGAGTAAAGAATTAAGATAAAAACAAGAAAACAATTTCATTTGCAAAGGATAATATGCGCTTAGGGAAGATGTTCCTGTGCGAAAATAAACCGTTTCCATTCATCGGGTGTCACTTTGACTTTGTCCGCGCGACTGAGGCCGGCTTCGGCTTCCCTTCCTTTCTGCACAGAGATTTAATTGAAATTTCTTGATGCAAATCATGCCTTGCCGCAAATGTTCATTTTGCAGCCTCTTCGCCAAAAAATACGGAGCAGATTCAAACGATTTATTCAAAATTTTGAAAAATTTTGAAATCAGAGAAGCTTTGAGACAGATTTGAAAATTACAAGAGTTTTCTGCAAAAATTAAGGCTTTGTTTTGACTTGAAATTTTTTGGAATTTTCAAATTTGGAGCGACAAACTTCTGTTTTAATCTAATATTCCAGCATTTTCCACACAAAACAAGTATGTGTCAGACTCAAAGGCAGGTATGGTAATTAATGTAGAATTTTCATGAATTAATACTTAGAAAATAATACTCATGAACCAAAAGCTCGTCTCCATCCTTTTCAAAAATTCGAAACTTTCTTCCTTCACATCCGATTTGCACATGTTTATTTTGAAAGAAGACATGCTTTCTAATGGTACCTGAGGCACTTTTTGACAGCTCAGTGACCGAATTACTCTATTTTGATATTCCCCATGTTTGGTCGCAAATATCTGCTTGCAGAAAATCGGAGCAATCGCTAACATAGCTATTACCTAATCTTTTTGAGTGTACAAAAATTGCGCCGATTGAAAGTCTTTCAAAAAGTTATGGTTTTTGAGGAAGCCGTAAAGAGTAAATATGATTTTTTTGGCATTTGCTTCGAAAATCATAACTTTTCATAAAGAGGTTCAATCAGCGCAAACTTGGCACAGTCAGAAGGAGCAAGCTATAAAAACCTATAATGCTCCGATTTCCGTAGCGAGTTTCAGTTTTGCGACCAAACGCAGAAATTTTGAGAATGGAGTAATTTTCTTCTCCTCCTTCTGTTTCTGGAGCTTGCTTAGAGTGAAAGGTACTTTAGGTAGTTATACTATTGGAAACATGAATTCCGAAAATAAGTGTGCAGATCCGTTGAAGATGAAGGAAGTATTTGGGAGAGAGAAAAGCATTTAAAACAGCAGAAACAGAGGAGCAGAGAAGGATAGATACATTTAAGCAGTGGCCTTGCAAGAAACTTTTTCAAGGGGGGGGGGGCAAAAAATTATTTGGGTTTGTGGGTTGAGCCACCGAACAAAGGGAAATTTAGGAATGGTTAAATTATCGTGGTTCCAGTTTTTGTACGCCCTCGATTTTCTTTAGCAAAAAGGGGCGCGGAGTGAGCCACACCTTCAAATGCCTACATAAACTAGTTTAGGGTTTATAAGAGCTTTGATCCTTCATTATCTACAGTCGCAGACTACTATGAATATTCTTGAGACCCATTATGCCCCGTCCCTTTCTTTTAATATATTTCTACCACATTATTTCTCTTTTATACAATCATTCAACATTGTTACTAGGTTGGCCCGAATATTCTTTCGCATTTTCAAAAATTCATAACTCCCCCTTTTTTCAGCCGATTCGCATGTTTCCATTTTTATCTGAAAGAACAAATCATTCTCTTTATAGCGGTACCATAAAGGCTTTCTCTTGAGCATACACTGCGTAGATAGGAGCGGTAAAAGAAAACTAGTCAAAATTCGAACTTACCGTGTAGGGTCATAAAAAATCTGAAACTTGCAGTAAAAATCGGAGCAGTCAGTATTATAGATTCTATCAACTGCTCTTTTTAATTCTGCAAATTTTGCGCTGATTGAGCGTCTCTATGAAAAGTTATGATTTTCGAGCAAGCAATAGAAGGGCGAATTTGATTTATTAGGTTGGTGCAAAAGTAATGCGCGTTTTGCAAGTTCTCACTTTGACGTGCTATAACTTTCTAAAAAATCCATATTTTTCAGTGCGGTAAAGTTCGTCAGAGGCACCAAACCTTTCTCTATACAGTGCTCATTAACCTATATTAACATCTCAAATCGGTGGAAAAATATGGATTAATAAGCAAAAAAATTTTTTTTGGAAGCCTCGTATTTAATTGATCATAACTTCCTTCAAGATTTGTCGGTATAAATGGTAAGCTGACTATCTTGTAGCCGCAAGCCAGTAGTACAAAAAAAGTACGAAAGGGCTCAAATAAAGAATATTTGCGAAAAGGAAAAAAATAATATTTAAAATTGTCCGCTTTTTCGACATTTTTTCGTGGCTCTCAAATCCTATAATATGGAGATTTTTGATTTTTTGTGTACTGAAGAGCTTCCACATTTCTGCAAAAACTGTCAACAGGAGGCTCACCCTTACGCTTACAGAAATGAGCAAAACTCTGGCGATTGCAATCTTTAAAGGAAATTAGTGGGCCACAGAATGGCCAAAACAATCACTCATGTTGAGGCGCCGAGATCTCAGTCTAAGTAAT